AAGAGGCGATGGATTTTCTGAGCGCCAGCAACGGAAACCTCCGCCTCGCCGTGAACTTGTTCTACCAGAGCAACCAAAAAGTCTCAGCAAAAGATGAACATGAAGAAGACGCCAGCAGCACTGTGGGCCCCAAAACTTCCACCCCGAAAGCTTCCACCGCCAAGGGACGCTTCAAGGCGGCGGTCGGCAAGGTGGGCAAGATGGTGAAGAAGATGGTCGGCGGCGGTGCCTCTGGTACCGGAAAGATGAGCGTCCGTCGCCGCGGTCAGGCTAAAGAGCAGACAAGCTCAGCGTCGTCGACTTCTGCGTCGTCGTCCTCAATGCGCAAGAGCAAACAGAATGCTGCTGCTGATGATGATGCCGATGATTTGGACTCCTCGCCTGAGCTGCGAGCGCCTGACCAACCGAAGAAGGAGGTGCTGGTGCGTGACACGCTCTCCTCCTACTCCTCCTCCTTCTCAGCAAACCGCGGTCAGCTGCACCGATGGAAGATGCAAAGTCACCGCCAAAGTCTGTCTCCCGACGGCCACCGCCCATTGCAGTCCTCAGCCTCAGTCTTTGCTGGAACTCCTTCAGTTTCTGCTGAGCAGCATGAGCCTGAGCATCAGCAGCAGCCACACCTTGACCGCCTCTTCCTCCCTCCAGTGGATTTGATCTTTGAGGTTGAAAGNTCTTTGAGGTTGAAAGCAGCGACAGCAGCCATTTGAACGTCTTTGAGGCGGCCAAGAAGGCGGCCGTCGAGCAGGGCAAGTGGCTGCTGGTGAATCTGCAGCGCTGCAGCCGCAGTCAGCCCCAGTTTGCCAGCTTGGCGCTAAATCGCGATCTTTGGTCGGACCGAGCGGTGAAGGCGCTGCTCAAGACGCACTTCATTTTTCTTCAGCTGGAGCTGGAAGAGGAAGGAGAGGGACAGGGACGCGGCCATGAAGAGAACGCCGTCGGCCTGGGCCAGCAGCTGGCCGGCTTCTACCAGGTGAATGAGACGCCATTTGTCGCCCTCCTCGACCCTCGCACCGGCGAGAAGCTGCTCAGCTGGTCGGCAGGCAATGAGCAGCTGGCCTGTGCGGAGGTGTGGTGCAATGCGGTGGACGACTTTCTCCGGTCGCAGGGTGAGCACCTCCTGAAGAAAGAGGTGGTGGCGCCTTTGAAGACCAACGCCGCCGCCAAGAGTAGCGTACTCGATGTGCAGGCGATGAGCGAGGAGGAGCAGCTGAAGGCGGCCATCGAGGCGTCACTTCGTGATCTGCAGCTGCAGCAGAAGAATCAACCGGAGGTGAAGAAGGCTTCCGTTGTTGGTGTTTCATCTTCCTCCTCTTGGAAGCAGTACCTGGGCCCGGAGAACAGCGGCAAACAGTCGCTGCAGTTTGTAATTCGCCTCCCGGATGGCAGCCGTCGTCCGGTCAGCTTTCCTGCCGACAGCAAGGTGAAGGCGCTGCAGCTCTACCTCGAGGAGGAGTTCAAGTTGAAGGAGAACAGCTACCAGCTGGTGA